ATACACATACTTACAGCTCAGATTTCAACTCTCCATAGCCCTTGCTAGATAAGTAGGGATAATGATTTTTATTCATAGTGCACTGAAAGTGAGTCCCACTCATATTTTCACACGCCCCAGAAGTCAGACAGTCTCTCTGCTTTTATTTACAGCTAGAAGTCCTGGACAGAGTCATGGCACAGAGGAAAAAGGAAAAGCAACTTGCAGATCTCAACTAATGCAAAGTACTGTCTGACATTTTTCAAAGAACAATCAATTGGAAAGGACTTGCTGTTAATCAATGTGAAACAGACACATTTCAGATCCCCACAGAGCATGATACAATGTGAAGCAGCTTCTTAGAGCAGCAGGGGTTTTTGTGAAAGGAGTTTGGACAGGCAGTTTTTCTCTTACGCCTGAATTTCTGACAGCTGCCTAGGACCCTTTTCACAGGTTTGTCACATTTGTGCCGAGATATATAAATGCCTTCTCCTTTTTTCCTTCTTACCCACTGCAAAATCTTTCACTTTTTTAAGAAAAGAAAGATAGAAGCCATATTTTCTATCATCCACAGATGATGCTGAAGTTTTTCCTGTACATGGAAATGGCTTGTTATCTCAAGACGACATCTTGTTATCTGAAGATTTTACAGTAAAAGCTTCCATCTTCTTTTTTTTCTGTTCTCTTTACTCCCCCGTGTCTCAAAGCTGAACTTATCCAATAGCTTGCAAAGGAAAGTAATAACAGAAAGATGGTTTTGCTTTGTTTCCTGGCGACCAACACCACTGAGACCCCAGGTAGCATCACACTGACTAATTCAAGACAGAAACAAGTTCCATTACAGTTAAGTAGCAGGAGAGGATGCAGCACAAACCTTGGCACAGAAAATCCTTGCCAGAGCTGCCTGCTCTTCATGATAGAATTCACAGTGATAGAGGAATATGTTTTGATTAAGAAGAATTATGTTCCATGCACGTTTATTTGGCTTTTGGGGCTTTTTCTCCCCTCTACTAAGCTTAACCATGCTGGCTCACTTACATTACCCTCTTTAGCTGTAAAAGCATTTAACAAAACCCCCTTGATGCAGTGCTAATACAAGAGGGCTCCTTTAATAAGTTCCAGAGAAAGCTGGGTATATCTTCTTTGCACTTAGCTCAAACTGTCTTTCTCCAGAACACTGTACCCCTCAGGGTGAGGAAAAGTTCTTATACCAATAGTATTGAAGTAGAAGAAAGTTCGTTGTAATGGCTTCTACTCCCAAGGACATCAAAGGGGATGGCAGCCTGTGGGAATGAAGATCTTACAGGTCTGGACAACTGTGGAGGCTCAAAAGAAGATCAAGGAGCAGTGATGAGAACTGACTTCTGGCTCAGACTAGAGGTGCCTCTAAATCCATACAGAACACTGCAGACAGGCAGGTGACTCCTTGTTACCGAAGCTCCCTTTGCATGTGAAAAGACCCAGTTCCTCCAAGACATCCAGGCATGGGGCCAAGGCAGTGAGGTTCTTCTCAACCACATTGCCTTCACAGAAAAACTCCCACCAAAACCATGTTACAGACAGTGCAGAGTTCAGATACTCCCTAAGGAGCCAGAGCAATAGAAATGCAATAGGAAGGGAACTTCCCATCCCTGCCATTACTGAATAACAAATAGACAAAAATGCAAGCCCACAGGGCTTTGTTGTCTTCAGTCCTGTCAGTCACAGATGTGACAGCTGGAACCTTTAGAGACTGTCAAAGGAGGAAAACCAAGGCACTCCAAATGCCAAGACTGTCAGCAGCATAATTAACATGTCATGTACAGTCTGCTCAAAAGTGCGGCACCTACTGCACCTCCAACAGACAATGCTGCCCAGCTGGTAAATCCTGCACCTTGCAATAATGTCTAAGTTACTGAAAAATCAAGAAAAAACACAAACTGTAGTGTTTGGAAAGACAGAAATCATTTTGTAGCCCAGAGAAGCGTTTCAAGGGCCATTGCTTCTTCCACACCAGATACATGTCTCTGGAAATTTGTACCCAGTCGTACTCTTACAGAAGAACATCTGTTTCACATGAGCAAAACGCATTAAACAAAAAGGATGGAAGCAAGTTCTGCAGGGAATTCATAAGCCAAGACAGGTTTGGGGGTCTCAGCAGATATGGTGTGTTCCCCACTAACCTGCAAGGACCAGTTTGAGGCAGGTGGCACCAAGTACCAAGTAAAAGGGAAAATTTTTCTCCCCCATCTCTGGCAGTATACTTTGGACAAACTTAAAAATGTGAAGTGACAAGCAACAGAAAGAAAAATCCCATGTTGTGAAAGCCAGCCTGTACAGACAGCATTGCCAATACTCCCCCTGCACAGACAAAATGGATGCATGTGTTTAAGTGCAGGACTGTCCCAGTTATGGTAAAATACTTGGGGGAACCTAGATGAATGCTCAGGCTGAGAAAAATCTAAGGTTTCATTTGAACAAATGTAGATCTGTAGCCATGACTGACCAAAATGACCAGGCCAAGGACAGCACCTGAATCCACTATTCACACATACCTGAGCAAGGTCACTATCCCATTGCTTAGAAGTGCAGTATTGCTGCCAGCATGGGCTCTTCCACAGCTGATCTATGACACACAAATCAGGGAAGGCACTGGAAAGGAAAACTCAGTCCAGGTGTTACTGTAAGGAACAATGGAGCCATAAGGATTGGGTAAGACACATGGAAAGAAGAGAAAAACCAAGCACGCAAGAAAGGAACAATAGAACTTCAAAAGTGGTAAGTCTGGTAAAAGAGCAAATTTTTATAGAATGCAACAATTAGCAACGGAGACATACACAGAAGTTTTATCTACAGACTAGTAGAAAATTTAAAATCATAATAAAATAAAGCCAATCTATTTCTGCATAATAAATATATTGCTTCCCCTCTTCTTTCAGATTGAATTAAAATTATGCAAGTTAAGGATATCTTACAAACAACAAAGAATCTTAGTTTAGAAAATATTTGTGAAGTAAGTTCTCCTTGCTAGTTTCTATTTCTGAACAAGTGATTTGGAAAAAGTCCTCTTCAATGACACCACTGGCTCCTTAAAAATAGAGGACCTGCAGTCCAGTTCCTGTCTCCACATAACTTTCTTGTTTCACAAACAGAAAAGACCTGACCCTGTGGTTAGCCAATCGGTTCCATTAAAGAGTTTGATCAGGAGCTCCTATATCAGAACAAAGGGAGAAAAAACAAAGCAGAACAAAGAGGTGAAATGGACACCTTGTACTCCTGATGACAGAAGAGGAGTTTCTGAGTCACGCAGAGAGCTCTCAACACCCCGATCAGATAGAGACAGGATATAGCACTATCTGAACACATGCTCAAAATGCTTTGGAGAGAAACAGTTATATCCAAACTGCTGCTGTAGGCAGGAAGGTCTTGCTGGGATTATGATCAGCTGTGTGAATGAGCACAGAGACATACCACATTTGGCTAGATGATTTTTTTGTTAAGACTTGCCAGTGGTACAGGAAAAAAACTGCCCTTATAATGAAAATTATCTCATTTGCAGCTCTGTGATAAGTAGTATTTATCACGAATCTTTGATTCCTCATGCTGTTATTGCAACTCCTCTGGGATAGCATTAATGTACCATTTTTCTCCAAGGCTCCTACTTATCTCAAACAGTCTCTGCTACAAACAGGGTTTTTACCCCTGGCCTGTGAAATTTCTTGAATTATCTGATAAGGTACAGTTTCAGCCACAATCACAGCAGGTCTAGAATTCTGCCCAAATGTTATACAAAAATGTGGGTCAACTGTGCTATACACAGCAGTGTGAAGATAAGAGTTTTACTGAAACTTCTTTACAGAGGCATATAAAAGTTGAGCATAGCTTCATCCTTCAGTAGAAGCACATTCACCTCATGCAATCAAAATCATCAAAAGGAATTTTACAGAGTGTGTATTTTTAAAAAGTTATCTTTAACTAAGGTCTAACACCAGACAAAAAACATGAATATTCAAGGAAGTTAGACAACAGCACATCTTAAAAAAAAAAACAATAATAATTAGTGTACACTAGCTTATATTTTCAAAGCATTTTACAAAAACATGAATTAATTAAGCCTCACAACACCTTTGTGAGATAGTTAAGTATTATTAGTCCCATTTTAGAGACAGAGAAACAGGCATGAAGACAGTATAACCTCCTCATCACCACACATGTCAAATCCAGGTCCACAACATCAGATTTTCCAGTTTTTGCCATGTGTGGCCAGATCTCTTAAAAGCTGCTGGTCTTTAATTTAAATTGTTTCCTCTCATTCCTTTTAAAACAACTGTCCTTATTTCAGTCTGATATGAAAAGGTACCCACCAAGAGCTATTCAAAGATCCCCTCTTTCACCTGTCCCTGCCCTCCCTTTAATCCTTACCCCTAAGGTACCCCCCTTGATGTACTCCTCATCCATCTCTAGGCTGAGCTCCATGCACTCCAACCAATCGTTGACATAGAAGGAGACGCCTCCTCCTCATCTCCAGTGCCTGCTCTTCCTACAGACCCTGCATCTTTCGTGCCTTAGGTTGCAATGCAAGATGTAACCAGCAGTATGTATTCTACCACCATCTCTTGAAACCAGGTGGAGCAGTGTTCCTTATCTCTTCCATGACCCATCCTTTGTCCAGGGAGATATCTTCTGTTAATGGATCATTGAGTCCCACTGCATGACTGATAAGATTATATCATCCCATTGGGAGATGCCCCACCTAGGGGGTGGAGCCAAGCATTTCCTACCAGATAAAATCTGAGACTTGGGGCGTCAGGGCAGCCTTTTTCGACTGGATTCCCAGAGGAAGACCAGGCCCATCTACATCACCACTGGACCTTCAGAGGAAAACTGCACCCTTCTACAGGACCACTGCTTCAACAGAACTACATTTGTCACTCCAGGAGGACTGCAGCCTCCATTTAATGGGACTGTTACCAACACCTGACTGACAGAGTGTATTCTGGCTCTGTCAGTGGTTTTTTTTTATATTACTGCATTCTTATGGGGGTTTACATTTTCCATTTCGAGAGGCTCCTGCCTTCCTTAGCAGATACCTGTCTTTTCAAACCAAGACACTTCCATTCCAACACTAAGTCAGGAGTTATGCCACCCCGCCTCTCTAACAGCCCTGTATGTATGAGCACACTTCTCATCAGGCACTGGTCACCAGGAAACTTGCTACGCCTATCTGAGCTGAGACAGCTCAGAATCTGTAAAAAAATAGGGTTGGTTTGCTTCTTCCAAACAAGGAATCTCCCTCTGGCAGGGAGTCTTCTCTAGGAAGAACTCTTATGAGTACAACTGCACTGAAAACAAATATTTTTATCAAGAAGACCCTCAATGTAAAGACTCTCAAGGTAAAGACAAGGGCACAAAAGTATGTCAGAAAATCTAGAAACATTCATGTATTGTGCTTTTGTTGCCTTCCTCTGGACTCACTCTATTAGATGGCCTGGAGACATCAGACATCCTGTGTGCTAGAAAATTATTCTTCATAATCACTTTGACCAGACAAGTTCCTTTATCATATCACTCTTGCACTGAACTGCTAAGTGACAGATTAAGATTAAACTTCCAAACCACCTGAATGCACCTGAATGGATTTAAGTCTCTAAACTGTCAAATTTAATTCTAACTGGCAAATTTGGAAGATCTACTGCTGCCTTTTTGCAAACCCAGGCCCCAAGTGTTAGTGAAGACTAGAAATAAAAACAGTCTTTCCATCTTCAGTCACATATTTCCATTAGACACAATCCAGAGTCCAGGAAGTTAGTTTCATGACAGCTTGATCTGAAGATCCTCCCCATACTTTTGGATCAACTTCACATGGTTATGGTCCACTGACCATTGCTCTGGGAGGTGTTTGGGCTTCATGCTGTCCAAGAAATGCTGCCGCCAGCGTCTTTCCAGCTGCATAAGAGAGCGCAGGCCTCCTTTAGCACAACACTGCACCACCTTCAGTCCATGTGGCACGTAGCTCTCATTGCAGATCCTGCCAGGACACAAGCACAATTTATTTTCACACAAGCCTGCTGTCAGACTCCCAATCTCTCTCCAGTGAACAGCAAGACACTGAAAATACTTCTCAGCTGCAGAGTTTAATTACTGACAAAGGGTAAGCTAACCAAGAGGGAAGGTTTTAAGCTTTGCTTCAATGCCAGACTGTTTTCTGCAATACAGTTACGCTGTAAAGCCGGTTCCTCTGAACCGAGAAAGCGTTCTTCACAGCAACACTAAACAAAGCTCTTAAGGTCCATTACAAGCTCCTCAGGAGACTGCAGATTTCTCAAGGCAAGAATTATATGACCCTTCAGAGCACTGAGCCCGTCACTGAATTCCCTGCCTGGACGGGTTCAGAGTTACAACATCTGTACTTTACAAACAACAGCGAGCATAACAAGAAGAAGACATTCATTTCATGCAGAGACTAGACACTTGTTAAGAAAAGATATCTGGGCAGGCTTTGAGAAAGTGAAGAAGAGAAGACTTCCAATATGACTGTCCTTCAGAATCTTGTCTTGATCTGTCCTTCAGAAGAAGTATAAAATATTGGAGGGGAAGGTGGAGAGCAAAAACAAGACTGGTGAGGAGGAAGGGAAAGAGGGAAAGAAACAAGAGCTGTGGTCCAGAGACCAGTGGTGGGTTGAGGGGAGATGGGCATAAACAAAAACAAAACCAGTAAGAAATGCAATATAAATTACTAAAAACCTTACACCCAGCCTACATGGAATTGCTATACCTGGTTTCCAGACCAGCTGCTGCCTGGAGCATCTCTGGAGTGATTGTGTCTGTGTTATAGAAGTCCTTGATGCTTTGCAGCAGCTCCGCCCTCCGAGGGTCAGGCAGGCTGTCTGCATTCAGCAGGGCTCGCGCCCCTGAGCGCACTTGCCTGCGCAGAGGGTCCTCCAGGAGACGCACGCCTTCCTCAGAGCCGATGGGAGCCCCAAACTCCTGGGCCAGCTGCTGCTTCAGGTGGTTGTCATAGTAATTGGAGATGGCATGGCAGGATGTGCAGAGCAGGAGCACATCATGCGAGTTGTGGTCCTTCATCTGGATGGGGAAGTGCCTTCGGTATTCGTGAGGAACAACATTCTTCCTAGAGAAAACAAAACAGACAGCTCATTGCATTTGTCTGGAGCTGCTGCTCCCCAGTTCCTCTTCTTCCTGCCCCAGAAAGGGTCAACTAAAACTGAAACTAAAAGTCCAGGTATGCAAAGATTACCAGAATACATAATATAGAAAGTAATTACTTTTATTCTTTTCATTTGTAGTTCTCTCTCCAGATTTTCTGCATTGCTTTTTTTTTCTTTCCAAAATTCATCACTTTCAATTAAAGATTCATACTGTCAAAAAGAAAAATCAAGCAATGCACTATGAGAAGTATACTTCTCAATTAATCAGCAGCAGACAAAAAGACAAAGAGAAAAATCTTGTTCTTTTTGACCTCATGAGCTTTAGGCTCACCCAAGCCTTTCAAAAATAAAGGATTAAGTAGTGGAAGGAATAGTATAGTTCTTTTTTGCAGGGGATACCCAGAGTGTGTCAGCATACTGCTGCCCCATCACTCAAACTGCAGCAACCACATGTTCCATATGCTTTGATCTCTCCCAGGATCGATATCTCCTGCCTCTCTAAGAGGAAAGGCTGGTCTCTTCAGTGTATCACACAGCCAAACAACTGCAGAGCACTCAAACAGTGTCCCACCCAGGACGGGAACAAGCACAATGTTTCAGGCCACTAACCAAGCTTCTGGGTGCCAAACTTGATGCAGACCTCAGTCCTGTTTTAGAAGACGCATTTTTCTCCTACCCCCTGATCAACTCACCGGATATAGGATTCCCGCTTGCCACACACAACGCAGAGGTTTTCTTTGATTGTCAGATAATAATCAACTTGAGACTCAGGACGTCCTGAAGGCTCAAACCGCAGCTTCACAACAAAAGGGTCTGTGCTAACTAGCTCTAAAAGGATAAAGGCAAAGAGAAAATATTAAAGATAAATTGTATTGGAAAGCTAAAATAACAATGCTACAATGTAAGTCTCATGTTAAGTACTTCCAATAAGAAAGGATACAAAAAAATTCATGTTCCATTATGAAGGGAGAGGAGAGGAGAGGAGAGGAGAGGAGAGG